CCCAGGCCTCAGCTAGTGAACTTTTCTACTCTGCAGGGCTGGGCGCTCAGATGTCCAGGGCTGATTCCCCTGAGCAAGGGAGAGGGAAGATTGTCCGCTGCCAGCTCAGCTTTACATGAGCCCTTTGGCCAGCTGCTGTAGATATTTGTGCCGGGGCCTGGGCCTGCTCTGGGTCTAACTGGCCAAGAATTGAAACAGAGCCAATAATCACTCCCCGAGGTGGTATTTTAGGTAGGGCCACATGCACATCTGGAAAGGGGGTGGGGGAGCAGGAGGCAAGAAAGGAATCCCTACTTAGGGAACTTTTGTTTGACCTGAAGTGCAAAAATATTAATCATAATTTTTGGTTCATGACACACTAAGCAATGGTACAGGCAGGGCACACTTTTGTTTTCATTTAATCAGCCATCGGATCTTCACTCGTGGACAAATACCTTCAAACTCAGTCTCCCCCCAGAAAAAGAGGTAAAGTACCGACACTCGCCTACACTATCCCACGGGTCACCTGCCCCCAATTAATCCCCCTGCCTCACCCTAGCTTCCCCCTGAATCCTTTGTCCATCACTACTTTGCTTTGCTTTTGATACAGTTTTATCGCAGCTGCATGCATTCCTAAAGCTTTTTTCTATTTAACCTGAGCTATTTGTAAAAGCTGCTGTGCTGTGTCTTTTGGTGCAGTCCTTGCAGGTAATGTCACATTGCCAAGGTTCCTCCATAGGTTTGCATGACACTGTTGCTCACTCGTTGTGACTAGTTTAATTCTCCACTGTGTGTGTACGTCGAGGTTTGTTCATCTGTCCTTCAACGGATGGCCATTTGGACTCTCTCCAGGCTCATGGTATCATAGATAGAGTTACACATGTCTCCTTTGGGACATGAGTTTCTCTTGGGCATATGTACTTAGGAGTAGAATTGCTGGGCCATAGAAATGTGCATGTTCAATTTTCGGAGATAATGAGACAATATCAAAGTGCTTTCCATTTGATTGCATTTCCCAGAGTTTCTGAGATGATTGTTTCCTCCCCCTGTCCTCCTCAATTTTGTTTCTTTAAAGTTCACATGTCAGTTCTATCAGAATGTTTAAAGCAAGTTCTTGACCTAACGCACGAGTAGCATCTCAGATAAATGCCCCATGTGGAAAAGGAGGCTTGTTTTCAGGCACACAGATAACAAGACAGGCATCTGTGCAGACACAAGGACCCACCCTGGCACTGACTCAAGGCAGGCTAGTCCAGTGGAAGGGAACTGTCTAGAAGCTGCTTCACATTTGGCGAATGCAAGGTAAAAAGAAAAAAAAAAACGTTTAGGGTGGAGTTAAGCCTGTTTCCCATCCAAGTTTGCTTGTTTTCCTCCCCTAAACCTCCCATAACCACCACACACACTTATTTTTAAACAAAGAACAAACACCTTAAAATGAGAAAAGAAATCACTGGTAAGTACCAATTTCAGATTCAAATGAGAGCAGAGGGTTCCGCTTGGAAATCACTGTACAGTCCAATTCCTTGCAATAAATATTTACAGAATGCTTTGCAGTGTGACCAACAAGATCTCTATTCTGCCCTCGAGGGTTTTCAAGCTTGTTCATTTAACAAGACAGGATCATGCATGAAGTGCCACAGGGGCCAGTTAGTGCTAAAAAGATGCAGATGCTGGCCCGATTTCAAGATGCTCACTGTAGAAGGATTAGCGAAAGTTAGAACACAAGTGCACCGGATACAGAAGTTGGTGGAAGGTGAGTGTGACTAATTCTAACCAATAGGAAAGTTCCTAGAGAGGGAAGCTGGAGCTGGATTTTGCAGGATGAACCAAATAAGTGACAAGAAAGAGGACAAATAAAGAATAGACCTAAAACACAAACTTCTGGACCTTCCCATTTTCCTCTATATCTCAAATTTCCTACATCTATTTCCTGCCTCCAGTCTTGCTAAAACACCTAGAAAGTGGTACCCATGCATCACTGTAAATGCATGATTGGCGTTTATTCCACCAACACCTACAAAGTCAATCCCTTGTGCTGAGCTCGGGGGATACACCGACAGACACGATGGGCACAGTTCCTGCTCTCACCCAGCTCCAGGCTTTCAAGGGCAGACAGAGAATTAGACAAAGACAGGTTTGGCCTGATCATCAGCCAGACTCCATCGGCCCAGGAGAGGCCCTCCCCCAACCCATTCTCCCCCTGAAAACTTTTCAGTGAATTGTACAGGATTAAAGAAATGGGTGCCTCCTTGGTCAGGATTAAAAGAATCCTGACCGTGTCCCAGGTAGTCATGCTTCTCAGAGCTGAGAGACCAAAAACTCAGGTGCTTCCTACATAATAGCCTCCAATCTGATACTTGATCACTGCTGGTTTCCAGAGTCAAACAAATGTCAGGAATTTTATGAAGGCAGGAAGCAAATAAGGGGGCAAGGATAGGGGTCTAGGCCTCGGGGGAGCTCAATTAGTGAGCCAGATAAAGTTAAACTGAAAGGGCATGCTCTCGGTTTCCTAGAAAGCCAGCTGGAAAAGATGCCAATCCTTAAGCCTCTGTCACTCAAAAGATTAACAGAAGAGACCCAGGGATGCCCAAGGGAATACTGCAATAAGCCAGATGTTTCTGCTCTTCCTATGACACTGCCACACTTCAGAGGCCACCAAGAAGCCACATAAGAGAACTGTATAGTCTTTTGGAATATGTGAAAACTCAAAGACATCACCCTTTAGACATACAGACATCCAAAAATATTATTATTAGTGCTTTCTTACAGACTCGCCTCATGCATCTGGGTTCAGTATTTTCTTATTGAGCCATCTCTTCCTTTAAAGCAACAGCATCCCTAGTTCGACAAGCCCTCCTTGCAGCTGCCCGGTGGAGTGGCAAGTACACAACCCGTAAATCCATATAAACTGTGATTTGGCTCCCAGAGCTGCATATGCACCACGAGTGTTTCCAGCAAGCCATTTAGCCGCCCTGGGTTTCACTTGCAAAATGTTCTCATAAGCATAAGTGATCCTGGAAATATCGATACCTAGCCCAAGTGTTCATAAATGGTAGCCTTATTGTTGCCTATAAATGCACTCGGGTAACCACATGTTCAAGACAGCAGCTTCCCCTGGGTACATTCTAAACACATACCCACACACGTGTGTGTGTGCATGTGAGGGGGAATGCAGCTGGGACACACACAAACCTATTTGCACTCCCTATTTATGTTCTATCACTTCTACCAATTTAAAAACTAAAGAAGCTGGAGGGAAGTCTAACCAATGCCCCTACTTTCCCCTGAAGCCCCTAGTTTTCCCCGAGAAGTTGCTCCCTCCAGTTTCAGGAGTCAGGGAAGGAGAGCCATATGGCTTGAGACGCTAGACATGCCCAGCAGCAAACGAGCCCCCCACCATTTGTCTCCGGGCCTCTCATGTGGGCGGGCGTCCAGATTTCAGCCGGGGTGCTCTGGTCTGCATCTCTGTCTTGACTGTTCCTAATTATTGGAGGGAACGCCATGGCTCTCCTGACCTCAGAGTTTAAGAGCTGCGAGTCCTAATATCAAACCAAGCAGCTTCATTTAAAAGGCATCCTCAACTGCATCCATAAAAGTCACTCCCGGAGCCCTTACTCGCCCCAGCTTTGGGAATGCCTGCTGTCGAGGATTTATGACACGCCCTGGATCTAATCTGCGGCACTTTAACTGCTGCTGTTGCACATCTGGTCATAAAAGCAAGGGCCGGCCCAACACGGGGACAAACACTTTTCTTTCCTAAGTGGCTGCAAATCTGATCTCACAGTGATAGCTGGGCTCGGATGTAATCAGCCAGCATCTGGCCAGTCATTAAAGCTCGTCAAACTTTGCAAGGCTTTTGCTCCCCACACGACAGCTATAAAGACCATAAAGGCGATTCTCATAACAGCAATGAATAAAGAACCTGCAATCTGAACAGGTGGGAATGAGGGTAGGCCCAAGGATACCCAGGAACGCACACTTTGGTTAAGGAGCCAACCTTGTTTTTACAAAGATCCTAGCTATTTCAGGGGCCCCATGATGCCCGTTGAGGCAAGCAGCCACCCTGAGAGGCGACTGCCCTGACATAAGCTAATTCTTGGTCAGAGATTGTCTGATTAAATGAACGAGGTGGTTTAATAGTACATTTTTTAAGGCAGTGGAATTCTTCATTAGACCAACGTGGGGGAGGCAATAATCTAGACCAGCAATGAACACAACGTTGCCGGTTCCAGGAGAGTTTACAATGCCACGGGCCGCCTGTCCTGTGCACAGAATTGGCATGTTTCATATCTTTTAGGAACTCCAATCAGACCAAGGTTCAACAAGTAGCCCAAGCTCCCAGCCCAGAAACCAGGGGAAGAGACCCTTGCACGCTGTGCGGCTCCTTTCCACCACCTCTCCACAGCCCCCCACCTCTAGCCTCCTCCAGGGCTGTGCCCAGCAGGAGGGAGCATTAAAATTATCTGCTGTGGGCTTTACGAGCAGCGATCGCTTTTTAAAACAACAACAACACAAGGTCCTTGTGTGGCTCTCTCGGGTAACTTAAAACTCTGGAGGCAGAGCGGCCCCCTGCCGCCTGCCAAGAACGCCAGCGCTCGGGAGCGGGTGCAGTGTGAGACCACAGGGCAGCTCTGCGTGAGCGGAGAGCGAGCCTCTCGGACGCAGGAGGCACTTCTGAGGGTCTCGGAGAAAAATGCCTTGGGAGAAGAGACTGAGAAAGAAAATCCACCAGTGACAGTTCAGGGGTTGGGGGGCTAAGCAGAGTCCGTGCTGCAAGAAAGGATTGGGGGTGGGGGACAGACAATGGGAGAAATTTTTATTTCAGTAACTTCACCAAGAAGCCCGCGGGAGACTGGGTAATATGTGTGTGTTGTAGGGGGGCAGGCAGGGTGGGAAGGGAACAAGGTCTGACACCTCCCTTAACCTTTCCCCTTTCCCCCAACCCCCTCCCCGAGGATGAGTGAGGGCTAGTGACCTTCGTCTCCCTCCGCAGGTGGGCGCGCGGCTGGGGACGCACTTACCCGGGGGCCCGTGGTGCGGTGGCCGCCAGCCGGAGACAGCTGCACCAACACAAGCAGCAAGTGGGGTGTGAGCAGGCGGACGCAGTGCGTGGGCAGCATGGTGCCAGCAGGCTGCGAGCCGGGGTCGTGGGCTCAGCCGGGCGCACCACTGCGCCTGCCTTGCTGCCTTCCTTCCCTCGGGGCCCCTGGCAGCGGAGGTGCAGCGCGGGATGGCGGAGGCTACCGGCAGAGCGCGCGGTCATGAACCGCGAAGGAGGGAGCTGGAGTGCGAGCGAGCGTGTGCTCTGCGCGCGGTCGGCAGTCACTCAGCTGGGCCAGGTCCTGGCGGCAGCAGGTTGGATGCCAGAGCCTGGGCCATGGGAATTCCCGTTATAAACCCATGCGAGGGGCGGGGCGGAGCCCGCCCTGATTGACGGGTCGAGAAGCCCGTAGCAGCCGCCCCTCTAGCAGGTGAAAGCCAATGGGAGAGAGAAAAGAGGGGCGGCTCGTGGTCAAGCCCACAGAGGAGAGACGCCCGGTTGCTCAGGGGGAGATGGGGATCGAGAGGAACTTTCTGTCCACCCTTCTGCTGAAGAAGTCTGAGAGCTGCAGCAGCCTTCACCTAGCAGCATGCCTACCCAGCTAAAAACAATGCCTTAAGCATGTACAGGTTTCAGCAGGAGCACTTGAGTACTTGAGGAGCCCAAAAGACGGAAAATACTCCTAGCCCCATTTTTCTGATGACAGTACCGGGGCACAGAGGCACTGAGAAATCTGCTTACCCACTGTTTCAACACCAAGAACCCAAAAGTCACCGTGTGATCCCTACAGAGCAGGCTGTTACCCGCCTTGGGAGTAGGGAGAGGACACATTCACTTCTTTTAAAGAAACTTCCAGAGGGTGACACCCAAGTCCTACAGCGGTTGCCCCAGGAGAAGTGTTGAAGAGATGAGGTGAAGCGCCGCTGGGTATGGGTCCCCTGGGGAAAGTCCCTGTGGGGAGAGGGTGTGAGGTAGTGACCCACTTGTGGATCCGTGGTGGATCTGGGATTGCAACCCAGGCATTCTGTCTGGATCCTTGCCTTGACCTGGAGGGCCAAGGGGCAACCCTTCTGTGGCCCAGAAGCCCTAGGAGAGGGGGTCAAAGGGACCCTCATCTCCTGATGGGGCAGAAGGCATCTGTGGGTACAAAGGCCTCAGGGATGGGTCAGAGGGGTGAGGGGAGACCTCTCCTGGGTGCCCACCCCACTTGGATAGGACAGTGCAGCAAAGGGTCCAGTTGGATGTTGGAAGGCTTTGACCAGAGTGGCCCTGAGAGGACCCTCTTGGGAATAGCCACAGTGTTGCACCAGCCCCAAACCAGAGCAAGGTGTTCCTCTGCTTGCACCCAAGAGAGCCATGGTTTCCCTTCCTGTGTGGGGCACCACCCTTAGAATTTACTCTTGTTGGCATGGGCCACCCACTTCATGCAGAAAAATTATTTTCACCAACCCTAGCAGCAGCACCAGCGCTTAACTTCTCCTCCTTGTCCGCGCCTGCACACCAACGACTTACCTCCTGGATTGTATGAACAAGCTTCCCACCCAGTTCCTGTGTTCAGTTTTGCCCACTCCCCTTGCCCACCCCTGGCAACTTCCACCTTGTAGCCAGTCATTCTTCCAAAGAGCAAACCTAAACGCACCACTTACTTGCTGCTTGAAAGGAGTCAAGTCTCCCAGCATCCTCAGATTAAAAAGCCCAGACTAGATGCCGAAACACTAACAAAGTCCTTGAGGTGTTCCAAACAAAAATAAAGCACACCTCCAAGAGAACCGCCTGGCTTCCTCTGCTGGGAAACTGTGCAGTGGTCAGACAAGCTCTCTGGAGCTAGACAAGATGGGTTCAAATCCTGGGTCTGCCACCTAGTGGTATAACCTTGCACAAGTCACTTTATTTGTCTGGATTCCAATTTTCCCCTCTGTAAAATGGGGATAAAAATATCATCCACTTCATGAGTTGCTGTCAGATTTTTTTTTTAAGATGGAGTATATAAAGCCCTTAGAATGGCTAAGTTAGAAATACTGCCATCTGGCAAGTAGCAGATACATTCAACTTCACAGGAAGCAAACGGATACTCCATGAGACAGTGACTTGCCTGACCTCGTTTGGCTTGTAAATGACATTTGAGATTCAAGCCCAGGTTTTCGGAGTCTAATTCTGTGATGACCATGATGTCCCATTTTCAATGTCATAAGGTTAGACATTCCCTGTGTGCTCCTTGGGAATTTCTTCAGGGGCCTGCACGGGAACTGCGACTTCTGAGCTTCCTTGAGCTCCAGGGAAAGAGCATGGAAACAGCAAGGGTCAGCCCTTCCTGGAAACAGCCCTTGTGATCTGGCATCCTGGGAATTTGCCCAGCTGGACTTGTGACACTTGCCCGGTACTACCGTGCCTCGTGCAGCACTCACATCAATCCCCACTGCCCACCTAAGTGTTTACCCACCGAGGGCTCCACAGGATGGAAATGTCACCACTGGCCTCCGCAGCCTGACAAGTTTGTCCTGACTCTGCCACCTGGTTACGTGCGCCCCGATCCAGCTGGTCAACTTCTTTCTGTTGCTGGAATTATTGAGAAATCTGTTGGAGTAAGTAAATATGTTTGAGATGGGCCCCCAGGATCTGGCAGCACCAAATGCCCAGGGAAAAGGCATTGCAATAGTCCTTTCCATCCATAACACCGCATGCTGCTTTCCAGCCAGAAAGCTTATTTCCAAGTGGTCACTGGTCCAAAAATCTACATTATTCTGGATTTCAACCATGTAGCTTAGTTTAAAACATGAGCAACTGCTTTCCAGTTACTTTGCTCAGCAAGTATTTTCTTTCCCTCTGGTTGGCATGCAGGGCCTGTCATAACCATGGCCATCATTCAAATGATGCATTTCTTCTCCCAAATCCTCCCAAGTCCAGAAAAGGTTAGAAATTCCAGGGAACTATTAGTCTCAAACAGTGTCTCTCTGCCAGGCTCAATCTTCTGATCCAAGCAAAGAGTGAAATTGACAAGTTCCTTCTTTCCCTGGAGAGGAGGCTTATAAATAAACCTAGCTATCGGGCATGTGGTCTGTCCAGTTTCAGCCATACTCCCAGTCCTGTGGGGCTTCTATTTGCAAGGGGATATTTCAGTAGAAGAAAAATAATACTCTATATCTTATATTGAGGCCTAGGGGCCTCAAATATTTAGTACTAGCCAGGAATGCCCATTTCAAATAAATCTGTGTTTCTGTATAATCCAGAGGAAGTTTGCTCGGACTCATATTCAGCATAAAAGCTTTCCATTCACTTAAACAGGCACTTTGATGCATCTCCTTCTGTGTCCAGCACATGCTCATCATTATGAGGGATCTCTGGATGCACACCCTGCCCTCTGAGAGGTTACAATCTAAGATACAAAGCAGACAGACACTTGGAAACTGTATTTCAGAGCAAAGGCTGAGCTGTATTTTAGGGACTCGGAGCAGGGACCCACTATAGACCTCATGGGTAGGGAAGGTCCCATGAAGAAGGTAGATTCAAAATGGGGCCTTGGAGAAAAGTGTTTCTATAATATGAATGTAGTTTGATTTACGTTTGCTCTATTTGTGACAACAACTACAAACAGAAAAGGTGAGTTTTGCCTAAGGTCCAGGACTCTTAAAATAAACTGCTGAGCTCAGAAGCCTGGGCCACCAACAATCCTGGGTTCTATGGCTGGACTTACCACAAACTTGCAGCAACACTTAGCATTGGGCTGGAGCAGGTATTATTAGTCCAATTAGGCAGATGAGCTTGATCCACAGAAGTTAACCTTGCCAAGTCAGTCCTTAAATTTTAAATATATATCCCAGTTCACACACATGCACACACACAACGGTAAATATGTGAGGTGATGGCTGTGTTCATTAACTCAGGAAGGGAACCCTTTCACAATGTATACATTTATCAGACCATCACATCATACACTTTAAATATCTCATGATTTTATTTGACAATTACACCTCAATAAAGATGCAAAATATACATGAGAAAAATCATTACAGTGACTTAAACCATTTAGAAGCTTATGTCTCTCTTTTGTACACAAACTCTCTTTGAAGTACAGGGTAGTTCCTTCTAACCCAGGGCCCCTCTAGTGTCGCTCTGCCATACTTAATAAGTGGTTACGACCTCATGGCCCAAGATGGCTGCTCAAGCTTTAGCCATCACACCTGTTTTCCCATCAACAGGGAGGACAAAGGGGAAAAGAAGAGCATGTCTCTATCCTTAAGGACACTTCCCAAAAGTCTCATTTCATTTTATCTATTGGCTAGAATGTCATCACATCTACCTACAAAGATAGCTGAAAAAAATACAGTCTTAGCTCAAGATAGCCAAAGTGTCTAGCTAAAAATCAGGGTTTATGTAACTAAGGAAAAATGAAATACTGTGGACAACTAGCAGTAGGGGCTCTTAACATTTGACAGCTTGAGCTGTGAAAGAACCATGGACAATGCAATGGAGTCCAGAGGATTCAATTGTGACTTCCCTCTAGCTCTGCATGTCCAGCTCCCTCATGCTGCAAAATATTAATGGCTAGACATCCAGATTCTTTATTTTAGATATAATTGACATATTACATGTATTAGCCCAAGGTATACAATATAATGATTTAATATTTGTATATATTGTGAAATAATTACCACAGTAAGTCTAGTTAACATGTCACCTCATACTTACAATTATTTTCTTGTGATGAGAACTTTTAAGATCTACTCTCTTAGCATCTTCCAAATATGCAATAATGGTATTATTAAGTGTGGTCACCACACTGTACAGTACATCCCAGGACTTATTAGGAAGTTTGTACCTTTTGATTTTCTTCACCCCTTGGCCCATCTCCACCCCCGACTTCCAGCAATCGCCAGTCTGTTCTGTGTTTGTTTTGTTTTGTTTTTAGATTCTACATTATCAGTAAGATCATACTGTGTTTGTCTCTCCCTCTCTCTCTCTCTGACTTCCTTCACTTAGCATAGTGCTCCCAAGTTCCATCCATGTTCTTACAAATGACAAGACCTCCTTCTTTTTCATTGCTGACTAATATTTTATCATATATACACATGTATATATATGCCACATTTATTTTATCCATGCACCCATCAGTGGACACTTAGGTAGTTTCCACTTCTTGACTATTGTAAATAACGCTGCAATAAACATGGGCACAGACATCTTTTAAAGTTAGCGTTTTGGTTTTCTTCAGAAAAATACCAGAAGTAGAATTGCTAGATCACATGATAGTTCTATTTTTACCCAAACCATTGATGCCACAAAAATTTGCTTCTGGTATTTCCCTCTTAGACACCTTCAGTGGGAGGAACCAA